CAGCAGCAGCAGCAGCACCAGCACCAGCAGCAGCAGCACCAGCACCAGCACCAGCAGCACCAGCACCAGCAGCACCAGCACCAGCAGCACCAGCACCAGCACCAGCACCAGCACCAGCACCAGCACCACCACCACCACCACCACCACCACCACTACTTCCACTTTTGCAGAGATGCTCTTCTCCATCTTCCTTCCTGTCAGGCCAACCAAGTACTTCTCCTACAGCGACCTCTATGGCAGATCTTCGCAGCAGCATGGTGCTTGGCGGAGTGCTGATGCTCATGATGGGCATGTTGGTGATGATGGTTCCTGGTGAAGCTTCAAGATCACGAAGCCGTTCCGATCCACAACCAGAATATGCGAATGTTCAACAGTGGACAAGTGAGATGAGAAACTTAGTGGCTACGACATTCGTCTTGTCAGCCAAAGCATACTGGATTGATGGACGGCATGAACAGTTTTCAATTGAGAACATGTTTAACCACCTACGCTTGCAGCTTTACTTTTGAAGAACGATGAGAAAGAGGCTGTGGAATACTTCATTACAGCGGTTGAGGTGAACGACCCCGAGGAGATCATGGCTCAGGTGAGAAATATGCAGATGTGCATGGATCTTCCTCACGTCAACCTCCTTCACGCCGAGGCTTGGTTATGGGAAGAGTTTCGTGATGATTTGCAGCGAAAAGCAGATGCGAGTGATGGAGCTTTCTTTGTTCCAATTGTGGAGCTTTTAAAACATCGATGGGATACACCTCCGGGAGAAAGTGATCGCGGAAGAGACGAAGACGCAACATCTTCGAGGAGCTCAATAGCGAACAGAAGTGGAGATGAAGATGTCCGGGAATCACCAGCCCGGGAGTTTGAGCTCAGGATGACAATGAATTTACCAAGGTCAGAAGCAATTCAGGTAGCTCAGACGATAGATAGCAGATGCACATGGACGAGAATTGGTGGTCGAAAGACCAGCTGGATCAGATGAACGTGAACAAGGAGACAGAGATGGACAAGACCCAGAACCTGGGAGTAGCAACAACAATACGCTTGGAAGAAGCAGTGAAAACACTACTCGAACAGCAGAACAACTCAGAATACCACCGAGGAGGAGAATGACAAGATCGAGCAAGCTATGGCAGAAGCAAGAGCGAGCATACGTCGTGGAATTCGTGTCTTGCAGTCGCGCGCTACGCGCTATGAAGAGTTGGGCGACCACGAGGCCGCAGAAGAAGTCAGACGTCAGATTGACGACATGGAGGCAATGGAATCTTCAATTTGAGAGGTTGCAATCAGCGCATGCGGCAGCTATGGTGAAAGCAAAGTGGTGACGCAATCAGCGCATATGAAAGTGAGAGGCAAATGCATGTGAAACAGTTTTTCCGCTAACAACTACCTGCGGAACTGTAGAATTTGTAACTGTAAGGTGAGGTGCAAATAGGTGCCAAAACTTGCAAAATGCAAGAACTTTTGGCAAGGTGGGGTGTAAAGATATATCCACTGCACTCACCCATGTCATGTCATGCTCAGTTGGATGTGTAGTATCTGTTCTTATCAGCGTGACAGTTGATGCATGTCACAGGTCTGCATAGGCCACTGCGCAAGGATGACACGCCACTGGATGGTGGCTCAAGCAACGCATGTGAGGAAACAAGTGTGAGAGCTTAGAAGTGGGCCGCCGTGTTTTGAGAGTAACATAATGGAGTGTAACGCAATGTAATGTAATGTGATGTGATGTGATGTGATGTGATGTAGTGTAGTGTAGTGTAGTGTTGTGTAGTGTTGTGTTGTGTAGTGTAATGTAATGTAATGTAGTGTAATGTAATGTAATGTAGTGTAGTGTAGTGTAGTGTAGTTGAAGGTAGTGTAGAGTAATGTAGTGTAATGTAGTGTAGTGTAGTGTAATGTAGTGTAATGTAATGTAATGCAATGTAATGTAATGGAGTGTAGTGTAGTGTAATGTAATGCAATGTAGTGTAGTGTAATGTAATGTACTGTAGTGTAGTGTAGTGTAATGTAATGTCATGTAGTGTAATGAATTGTGGTGCAATGTAATGTGACGCAATGATATGTAATGCAATGCAATGCAATGTACTGCAAAGTCACGTAATGCAATGTAATGTAATGTAATGCAATGTGATGTGATGTGAGGTAATGCAATGCATTCCATGTCGATTTATCTTGAATCATGCTACGTCAGATGATCTTTATGTATTTAGTGAATGGAAGAGTAGTCTTGGGGTGTACCCGAGTTTGTCGAAAAAATTATACTCTGGTCGCCTCGCGACGACAACCACCCCGGAGTGTTAGCTCTGGAGTTCCAATAAAACCACATATGCTCTATGTTGGGCCTTTGTGGGGCTCATGTTGGGAGTATGTTGGGCCATGTTGGCTCTATGCCGTGTTGAGCCCATGTTGGGGCATGTTGGGCCTTTTTGGGGCCTATGTTAGTCATGTTGGGTCTATGTTGGGGCCATGTTGGGCTTATGTCGGGCCATTCTCAGCCCAAATTTGGCAACTTTGAGGTCCCTTTAAAGATGTTGAAAAACACAGGATTCTAGAGCAATAAACGGCACCTCCCCCAAGCTAAAACTTAATAGCTATTGCACTTGGTTCGGTTCACGCATACACATAAAAAACGCCTCGGCACCTTCGGCGCGGGCGGGTTTAGCTTGCAAGACTAAGTAGGAAATTTCTTGAACTTTATGCGTAACAGTATGAAAAACAAGTTCGGAGTTGGAGGTTCAATTCCCCAAAATCTTATGGTCATCGAGAACTAGGTAGGAACACCTTGTCGATTACGGAAATGTACCGCGTCATTCCGCGACTTATATATACATACACACATTACATGCATTAAATTATATGCAAATGTAAGCGAAGGTGAGGTAATGCAATGTAACATAGTGTAAAATTACCCACAGACGCCGTGTGGTGCCCAGACATTAATATTGAGAATGTCGTGTTGTCGAATATATGCTACGAGAGATTACAGAAAATATGGCGTATACGCAGTGTTTTCTAGTTTAGGCTTCAAAGTTTTCAGGGCTTAGGTTTTAGGGTTTAGGGCTTTACGGTTTGGGGTTTTAGGGTTTAGGGTTTTAGGTGGTTTAGGGTTTTAGGGTTTAGGGTTCGTCGTCTCAAAACACTGGCCTTGCGCAGGTGTTTGAGCATGTTGAAGGATAGTGTTTAAACGCCATTTAAACTTTCCGGGCAACACACAGCGCTTGGCCGTAAAATTATGTGTATAATGTCATGTAGTCCAGTGCAAGTGTAGGCAATGTTCGAGAAATCAACCGGTCAACCCTTCACCCCCTGGGCCTGTAAACACTGCCCATTATACTGCAGCTCAGATGACGTTTATAGAGTTTTTTTTCCAAAATTGGCTGCACTGGGGCCACGTCTTGGGTATGAATGTGGAATGATGCGGACATGTATTATATAAATTATATGCCTATGCCAATATGTAAATCAATGTATACACACCCAGATACACCTTCACACTTGATTAGGGTGACTATTCACGCCTTTCGCCAACCAATGACGAAAGTGGCCGACAACTTTGCTTGGCATCAAAAAGATCCAATACGTCAAATCAAGATACTGATAACTTGATTACGACTCTGGCTATAGTTAGTTTGCATGCGTCTCTTGCATGCATTCATGCATGCATTCAGTCCACACTCGCAGTGAAGGAATCATTTCGAGATGATAGCCCAGTTGCCAAGCACTTGCCAATTGAACTTGCAACTGAAACTGGTATATTGTGTCGACATGCATATATATATACATATACATACACATACACGTATGTATAATCATATACATTTATAATCATATACATTTATAATCATATGTATATATATCTTTATTTAATCAGTTTTACATAATTTAATCAAATGTATATATACATATGTATATTCATATCTCTCACATATATATATACTTATATATATAATCATATATATATGATTATATATTTACAATAATCAATTATATATGATTATGTATGTATATGTATATATATTTGTATTCGTACACACATAATCAATTATATATATACATACTTATAAAGATATATATTCAAAAATAAGAAATAGATAAATTAGAAAAACTGAATATATATATATATAGACACATACATATATATATATATATACATATATATATACATACATACATACATACATACATAGAAATAAATAAATAAATATATATATATATTGTATAAATGTATGTATATTGTACTGATAGCGAGTATGACCAGTGCCAAGGCACTGATGGTGCAATCAAGCCCCGAGCGGAGCCGTGGCCAACTCTGGAGGAAGATGTGGCCAAAGAGATGCAGAGCACAAGTCGAGCGAGTCCTTTACTGGCTGATCCCTGGCACGAAGGGAAGAAAGAGCCGAAGAAGGGAAGAAACGGGGCAGAATTTGTAAAACAATTGATAAACATTAAACATTGTGAAAACTTTAGGATTTCATTGACCCCTTGTTCAGACACTTGTGCTCTCTTTCTTTGGAAAGCACAGATTCATTTTGGTAAGAGTAGTAACGGTTTGCACTTACGGCATTGCCCAGGAGTTGCGCATGCAGCTTGCAGCAGATAGGGTGACAAGAGCCCCATCGGACTACAGCTCCTTTTCCAAACACCTCTCTGACAAAGGCGATCCTCGCACCTTTTCAGCAAAGTGTCATATGGTGTCAGCCTAGCAAACGCGATCTGCCCTTTGGATTGTGGATGTTTGGCTTGAGGTCAATTGCCGGTGGCTGAGGCAAGTTTCAGCAGATTTTACAGATCTACACCATTTCGTTCTTCATGAGTCTTCATTATGCATTGAGTTTCCGTGTGCCAGGTGATTGCAGTGCAGCGTGCGCGGCGTGCACCAGAGGATCTGAAAGCGCCTGTTTGTCCTCCCGCCTTGTCAATGGTAGGCTTCAGCTTCTGTGGCAGAGTTGTTTTGTTTTGCATGTGGCAGAGTTGTTGGCGTTGCAGGAAACTAGTGCGATGCTTCCAAGTGAATGTTGTGGCAGGTGTTGAGAAACAACGCGGTTGGAAGATGAGGTAAGTTTTGAGTTACTCTGCCTAGATGAGACAATTGTGTGGGAAACTTCGTTCGATAGATTTTGCCAGTCTGCTACCAGTCTGCTAGGAGCTGGGGAATGGCATTCTGGAGCTACGAATGTGGCGAGGCTGGGGAGATCCCTTTGCAGTTTTGGATGTGCAACTGGTACGTGAGTCTTGCGAGGCAGCCTGTGAGTGCTTGAGACAATATCCGCCAAGCTCGCCACCCAGTGATAGATTTACAACCTCAGTACCTGCAAACATTGGCAGTTCTGTATACCACCACTGCAATCTAGTGAAATTTTGATTGCGAAGGCTTGTTGTCCTAGTCAGGCACTGGAAGTTCTGATCCTGGCCAGATTCCTGTCCGCGTCAAATCTACATGTTTCAACCGTGCGAGACAACTGATCTTGTTCTCTTCGCAACTGCCTTGGACAGTTTCAAAAAGTTTCAAAGCAAAATTGGCAAATAATTCAGTTTCGCCGTTTCGCCAGGCAAGAGTGGATGAGCTGGGCAAATACATCAATATTTTGCATGACATGGATCCGCAGTGTGCAGAGGAGACGGCAAAACGATGCTGCATCCGTGTAGGTGAAACATGGTAAACATCATTGCAAAAAGTCACAAACATGTTGGATTCCTTTGATATCCTTTGTCCCGAAGTGGACATAACAGGACCGCTACCTGGCTTATCCTCGATACATTGCAAGCTGGCCGAACCCTCATGATGCACAGCCTCTGCATTGCTACCGTGCTTACAATTTCTTCTGACCTTCCCTGTGTTTCCAGATGTTTTCAGCCAGAGTGAGAGTGTGAGAGTGTTCAGCATACCTTGAAGCTCTGCAGGTCTCCCTTTGATTCCATCCCAAAGGCCAAGCGGCTGTTTGAGCAGGAGCGTAATGACACTCCTTTGTCCACTTCATGCGATTTAATATGCCCAAGTGTTTTTTTGCTTCAAAGGCTTTAATATAATTAATATATAATTAATATACATACAAAGTATGACTTAGTATGACAAGTAGTAATGACAGTGCGAGATCTCAGCCTCATTGCGTCAGGATCTCAATAGCAGAAGAAGACAATGGGCTCCACCTGGTCTCAAGGAAACTGCAGTAGCTGCAGTAGCTGTACTGGTAGTTACGGGTAGCTACGGGTAGCTACGGGTAGCTACGGGTAGCTACGGGTAGCTACTGAGTATAGCCAGTATAGCTGATTCCGCAGTTGACCTGGCCGAAGGATCAGACTCCAAAGTGGTTTGATCTTTGTTGCTTAGCGGCTGGTGACTCAAGCTCTTGCTCCTGCTTCAAATGTTGCAATTTTGCGGGAGACTCAGAAAGGTGTGCAGATGGTAAGGTTGGACTACAAATTGTGCAAGAGCTCGCTGCGCAGGACAATCTTGGATCGAAACCAAGGTGACCATCGTTGCGCTTTTGCCAATTCTTTGCAACGCTTTGAAACCAGTTGTGAAGGATACTCTGCAGTTTGGTCCGTCATTGTCTCAGTGCGACCCAGAAATGTCTCATTGCTACTACCAGTCTGTCCAGGGCTGGCGCCGTGACAAGACTACATGTTGAGAACAATATGGTCAGAGTCTTAGACACTCCTGACTCAGAACGAGCGAGACTTGACACAAGGGCAATTTGAAAGTCCATGAAATTCCGAGTACAGTATTCCTGATTCTCCTACTCCAAGATACTCCAAGTTTGTTGAGGCGCATGTTTGGCATTCGCAGATCCAGGGACGGCGGATGTTCGTAATGTTTTCACCACAGGACCAACATGGAGTCACATGGAGTCACATGGAGCATGATGCGGGAATCCTGCAGCTTGACTGGCTTGACTCTCATCTGAAGCGAGCAGGAAACGGAAAAACTTGCTGGCCAGTCCTGCAAAGGTGTTCGGGTCTTGGCTGCTTTTCCAACATGTTCCAACTGTAATGTGAACTTTCCATAACTTTCCATCATGCTGACAAGGCTGTCATGGATCGTGATCATGGCAATCATGGTGTGCTTTTTGCCAACGCAGGCATTCGGAAGAGAAAGCCGTGAATGGACGAGTGCGAACCTTGTTGGTGCATGTTCCATCGTATAGAGGGTCCATTGGTGCACTATGATTTATGCCTTTGACATATTGTGTGATTGTGAGAGCTTGAATAGATGACAGGAATGCATCGGTTGGGGATGGATGGACTGCTGAGTCAGTGGGCGTGCAATTAGGGTTCAAAGGAAAAAAATCCATTTCAACAACTCCACAGCAGGGTGCTACATAGATGTCTAGATAAATTTGCTTGAATTCAGTCAAACAAATGAGGAGGACATGCGTGGTTATGGTTTTCTTGGGATGTGAGTGTTATTGTGTGTTCGGTGCTGGTGTCATTCCTGCCATGGCGGTTGTTGACGGCCTTTCATTGTAGCCGAGTGCCTATGGCGTTATATATTGCTTTCACTGAATTGCAGTGCAGCAGTCTTATTGTTGAATTGCCATACACAATCCCATTGTCTTTGAGCTTGAACTACTAGCTCGCAAAAGGGTTGCACAAAAAAGCTCCCAAGAGATACACGTTTTGCAAAAAGAGAACCTAGAGAACCTAGAGACCTTTTTTTTCCGCTTTGTTTGCTGGCTCAGACTTGATCAAGATGTCAAAGGTGGAAAAAGGGAAAATACCTTCTGTTTGCCTTTCCAAAAGCTCTATGACTCTATGACTGCAGAAACACGCAATTCAAAGAATTCAATACTGTACAGCTCTCATGGACTGGAACCAAGCAATCTTCCCGAGGTGATAGTGTTTGATCCTATGACCCCTCTACTTGCTAAGAAAAAATGAGATGCATAGAAATGAGAAGGCCAGAAAACTGAGAAAACCGAGAAAACAAGAAACCGAGGAAACGAGAAAACCGAGAAAAACTGAGAAACAGAGAAAGCCGAGAAATAAAAAGCAGAAAATGCTTGAAAATGCGGAAAACAGTACCGGTTTTTGCGTTTTCGCGGTTTTCCTGGCTACTTTCGACTGCCTATCTACTACCAAGGCCTGTAAACCACCTACATACAACCAAATACTCCATATAGTTTACCACTTGAAATGATCTACCTGGCCAGGCATACATACTACCTACTGGAGGGCTAATTTGTTCATTTTGTATCATTTTGTTTATTTTTTAATTTTGTTTCCCTGCTTCTCTGCTTCTCTACTTTTCCTATTTTTCTTTTCCGCTTCTCCGCTCTTGTGATGCAGCTGCGCCCTTCCCCCAATGCCCCTCTTCCTACTCCATTTTTTTGCGCTTACCTAAGAAAGTGGCAAAACCACGTACACACATTCTCTGTACGTGTTTGAGCCTGAAATAACCCATAATCCGACCCCAAATAAAACCTAAACCAACCGCAAATAAACCCTATATCAACCCTAAGCAAACCTTACACCGACCCCAAGCCAACCTAAACCAACCCTTAAAAAATAAATAAACCCTGAACCACGCTTAAATAAAGCATAAACCAGCTCTAAACCTAGATCATAAACCAATCCTGAACCAACCTAAATAGATCTTTAACTAACCATGCCATAAAGAAACCCTAAAGTAAAGAAACCCTAAAGAATCACAAACTCTAAAACAACCCTCAACCAACCCAAAAGAACTTAAATAAACCAAGCATAAATAAACCTAAACCAACCCGAAGCAAACCGTAAAACCCACCCCAAATAGATCCTAAATCAACCCTAAATAGATCTTGGATCAAGCCTAAATAAATCCTGCACCAAAGCTAAATAAACCTAAACTCCAAAGTGCTGCAAAAAACCATGCAATATGAACAGTTCGAGAACTAAAGTACCATGGAAAAACAGAGGTTTGACCTCCGAAATGATGCAAAGATCCTTGAAACAGCAGCTTCTAGCTCCAAAATGCAAATAGCAAGGAAAATGGACAGAACAGGGAAGCCAAAAAGAAACCAAAACTGAAAAACCTGATAGAAGCCACGAACCGGACTGCATTTTTTAAAGGCTCACGTAGAAGAAGGGTTCCTACAGAACAAAGAAACGCAAACAGGAGATGCTCGATCGCATTAAAAGCCACTCTTGCAGAACACTTTTGCTTAACACTCTTCTCGGACAATCGTGTGGGACACTCTTGCTTGACACTCTTGTGGCATACTCTTGTGGGGCACTCTTGTGGGACACTTTTATGGGACACTCTTGTGAGACACTCTTGCCTGACACTCTTGCTCGACACTCTTGTGGCACACTCGTGTAAAACACTCACTCAGGACAATCTTTTACGACAATCTTTTGGGACACTATTGCTTGACACGCTGGCTTGACACTCTCTCTCAATGCTCTGAAACACCCTTGTGAGACACTTTTGTTGGACACTCTTGCTTGACACTCTTGCTGAATACTCATGCAGGACACTCTAGTAAAACAGTCTTGCTTGACACTCTTCCTGGGACACTCTTGCTTGGCACTCTTGTGGGACACCCTTGCTTTACACACTACTTTGTACTACAAAGCTTGCACAAATTACATCCCAATAATACTTTATACTAAAAAGCTTGCACCAAGCAACCCCCAGTACTACTTTGTACTACAAAGCTTCCACAAAGTACCTCCCAGTACTACTTTGTCGAAGGAAGTTTAGAAGTCAAACTTCCGACAATATGGACAGATGAAAAGCAGAGCAGGGAAGAGGCAGAGAGAAGAGAAAGATTAGAAGAAAGAAGAGTAAGAAGAAGGAAGATGCAGATGCGTGAAAAGGTAGGAAAGTCGCGAAACACTGTGTTTTTCCAATGATTTGGGGCTCCGGAGGGTCGAAAAGTAGGCTTGCTAAAGCGGCGGGTGCGGAGCCAGCTGGCCAGATGAGAGATGAAAAATTGCACGCCGTTGTGGCGCGAAGCACATTTCCAAGTCAAAATGTACAAAACACACCAGGTGCGGACCACTTTTGGCAGTTGAGATG